CTTTTGGCCAAACTATGGGTCGGAGGTGACTGTGCGACCCCTCTTTGCACTTCCCTAGGGACCCCCTACAACAATTACTTTTCAGATTTCGAATCCCAGTCGGTCGATTTTTCCTCCCCTACCACCTTAATGTTCATTGAAGGTAGTATGAAAGATATTCGCCGCATGATCATATTCCCTCCGGCTACTAGGATTTTTATTTCCATTGGCCAGAGTTACTGATACTAGGAATTCCAAGGAATGCTCATGTGCTTCCGTCTTGGAAAGCCATCATCTACACTTTCTTCCTCGTAAAACGCAAATCTTTCTCAAGCTGATTTTTTCTCTAAAAAGTTAAGACCTTCATGTCTTGTAAGAAATAGGATGTGGCAGAAACAGGAAATAGCAGAATAAACTTTTTTTGGCATTGCCCTCCTCTCCTTCCGCCGAGGAGAAGTAACGCTTGATCTATTGGTAACGAGAGTTTATAATTCAGGATCTGGGCTTTCACGGAATATAAATATATTGGGCCTGTTTTGTACCTATAGATCAACTCAGAGCCCTGGAAGGAGAGAGTGGTAAAGGGTCGCAGTCTCGCTTGTTTTGGAATGGCTGATGTAACCAAGGTTGCTGATCCTGGCGTAACCAAGCTTAATGAAATTTGACGACAATATATATAAAGTTTTGCCAACATATTGGATAGAGTTTTGTTTCTCGCAGAGCCCTCTATTAGGTTAGAAAAACTCATTCTACCTAAACCTCTCAAATCAAGATCATATCAATTTGATAAAATCCTTCAAAGAACATCATTCAAATGAATATGCCTTGCTCCAGTAGCCCTGAAAGTTTCATGATTCTATCCCATCTCCTTACTGAGATATCACATTTCAAATGTTCTAGCAGAATGGGCTGACATCCGATTCACGGTCTTAGCGTTACCCATGATGAGCCAACATGGAGATATCCGTCGTTCATCCAATGGGGAGTTTTTCCAAGCGGTTCCCCTTGCCTCCACATCGCCATCCAGCACGAAAAATTCACAATCAGGAGATTATCCTTTGCGAAGTTTGATTTGCATGCCGTCAATCTGAAAACTAAATGGACTGAGCGACAGGCCTTCTGAACGCCATCCTGAGGGATGGTGTGGAACTCCTCTTTAACGATTTTTTTACGTCAAAGCCCGCAGGCGAAAGGGAGAGTAAGAAAGGCATGACTTCTGCGAGCGAAGACCTTTCTTCGTCTCTGAATTTCTCCCGGATGGAGGTCGTGCCGGATTTTTCACGGGGAAGTACGGAAATCCGCTTACGAGGCTTTCGATTCGATCCATCCCGTGTCCATCACAGCACGGCTCGGAGCAGATTCTCCCCATCCCGGATGCCCCGTGACGGTCTCGAGGCGAGAACCGCAGAAACGCCTTACCACACTCATGACCGACGATCGCCCTCCACGAGAGGCGAGGGAAGAGGAAAAAGAGGGGAAGAGACCTGGATTTAAGGGCTTGCAGTGACCGAAGGGATGACCCGTGAAACCTTTCGGGCAGGAACAGTTGGGCTTGTGGTTCTCCACACGGCATTCTGCGTTCTCCCCGCAGGCATCCGTGCAAGGGTCCATGCACTTGTACTGCCGACACTCTTGGGTCAGTAAGCAGGCGGAATCCGACTCGCACTCCGCTCTGGAGACCATAGCATTTCACACATTAACCCTTTCAAACCTGAATTAAGGATGCTATGGGTATAATATAATTTTTTGCATTTTTGAGCTCTTTCATGATTGTAATTGAAAATTTCATAATGCTTCATATGTAGTTTTAAAATTTTGTATAAATTTGCCAAATCACACCATATATTGATACAATATATTTTACATTTGATTAAATATCTGAATATTACAAAAATAATGCGTGAAAGAAGGCCTCTGGTGTAACATTTCCGTGCATAATTGCGCCCATTGCAGCGTAATATGGAACGCAAAGTCACGAGAATCCTGAGAAATTGCCATTGGCACAATGTAAATGCAATATCCATTGGAATATGGATCAGGTCTGAAGGGATTAAATTCATCGCGTTCGCTATCCCATAATAATGTGCGTCTGTGTGCACCACGACGGTAGGCTACGGGAAGATCCACCCCTTCTATTTCTTCCGATGCGATCTTCGGGGGAAGAGGTACGCTTACGCGTCCGTTTCCGATGCTTCCAAACGTAAGTTTTCCGAAGGAGGTCGGGAACAGTGCTCTCTTAGAAGAGAGTGAGCGATATCCAAGAAAGGGAGCGAAACTGGAGTTGGCGGTTTTATTCCCTAAAACCGAGGAAGTGCATTCGATGACTACTCCTTTATAAGAGCAAAATCCACATCTTTTTTAAGAGCGTAAAACGAATGAAGGGGAGTACTTTTCAAACTAGTAGTAAAAGTTTGTTAAAGTTCTCAGGAAAGAGCGAGGTGAGCGGCTGCATTTCCTTGTTTTTAGGGAGTAAAACCGCTAACTCCAGTTTCGCTTCCTTTCTCGGAAATCGCTCACTTTTTTCTAAGAGTGTGGACGCAGAAAACGGGATTGACTGGACCGCGCGTCGCCTAGAGGCAGGAGCGTTGGTCCGTTCCGGCCGGGCTTCGATTCCCTCCTGAAAACGGCGAAATAGCTCACCTGCATCCTTGGACGGGGTTGCCGAAGAAATGGGGAAGGCAGGAGCAGATGGCCAGATGGAATGCAACCTCACACTTGGAGTTCCTCCCGCACGGCGACGGATCGCACATCTCCTCTGAAGATACACGAACGAAATCGGTCTCGCGAACGCCCGTGAGACAGGAAACGGACGCATGCGGGGAAACGTTACCGGGGCCGAGTCGTCGACAACGTTCGAAGTGATCGCCGGTGTGACACGCGGGGCAGGTGCAGGCGGGGACGTGTCTCCGGACGATGCATTGGGCACCTCTCCCGCACGTCCCCGGACACGGATCCGTGCAGTGGAAATCCTTGCACACTCGATCCTCGCTGCAGTCGTGAGTCTCTGCGAAAGCGAGAAACGACGGATGACATACCGCTCTCGCGCCTTCGGGAACGCTCGAGATCGCGGAAGACGCACCGACGCATTCACCCTCCATGCAGCCCGTCTCGGGGTTCCCGTAGTAGATGCACGAGCACACGGGATGGCCGGCGTTAGCCCGACACTTCGCGTGCGCCCCACAAGGATTCGGGAAGCACGGGTCCGTGTTATCTCTCTCGCTCCCTAGTGACATTTCAATAGATGTCATTGTCTCTCGGATTCCCATATCTTTTTCCTGCAAAATATTCCAAACCAGCTTGGCTTTGACTCCATCTGCCGGAAAGGAACTGACCGGAGCACTTCCCAACCGCGACGGAGAGGGGTAACGCTAGAAGGCATGATTTTTTTAAAGAAGAGAGTGTGTCGCACGATAAATATAGCAGATACATATGCCGAAATGCTAAAAAAGTATCAGAACCCAGTCACTGCCTCATTCGCGATGGGATACAGTAGGGCCCCTTTCGCACTGTTTCACCTTCTCAATTCAACAGGCCAAAAATATCACGTGGGCGAAGCCCCACACTTGATCATTCTCCTTTTCCCACAAGAATCGCAGCGTGTTCACTATAAAGCTCCGGTTGAAAAAAAAAACGCAGGAAGACAAGGAGGTATCATGTTCGTCTTATGAAAGCAATAGGATATTCCTTGGATTTTCCCTATTCTTCATGACAAAATCCGTAAATAAGTTTCAACATGCGACCGTATCATGCATTAAGTGCATCCATTTTCTATATAACTCAGGTTTGAGGGCCAAATGTCTCGCTTTTTTACCATGAAGATGGTACATTGATATTTGGTATCTTGGGGGAAAATGGACATGTTAACGGAGATCAAAGGTAAAATCCTAATTTTGATGAATACAAGGCAGAATGACATTTCCGAAGTTTATAATAGAAACATAACCTATATAACAGAAACGAGTCTGCGTGGTGAAATAATTTTCAGTTGCAATGAAATACGAATATTTACACTAAGATGCAAACGTCTTTGCCAAAAGTAAAAAAGTAATTCTCAGGGTGGGTTATGAAAATATCGAAATCAATTTCATTAAAAGGTAAGGAATGGGACAAGGTACACAAGTCTCACAAGCAAAAGTTGATCCTCTCTCCTTTCGAATCAATCATAGCTAAGCATTACGCTCTCATCGATTCCACCATATTATACAAAGTGCCCATGTCGATTCTGTCCCATTCTTCAAGCAGAAATCTGTCCAATTCGTCGAGGTTTCCGCATCTCGACACGCTGTTTGAGAATCGACCAGAGGTTCTCTTTCGGATTGATCTCGGGACAGTTCGACGGCCGATCGTTCGTTTCGGGTACGTCCTCGAATAGGAACTGCTTCGTCACTAGATTTTTGTTTGGGATCGTTGCCTTGCTCCAATTGCGAGCATCGACCGAACTGCTTTCTGGCACTACGGTGGAGGTGATCTCGAAGGATTTGAATGTAGTTAGGGCAATTCATTATTTTCTCGAACGAATGACAACCGACTAGGCCCATGACACTGAAGCTAACACTGAAAAATCTCTCCAGAAATTTCCAGAGATATGCTTCCAGAAACTGGACTGATGCAAGAGGAAGGGGCTTTTGCTTCTTAATGTATATTACCCTGAAAGGATATGAACGTCATAGGCTAGTCCATGGCACTGGAAAATGGACTCTCCCTTGAATACAATTTCGCGTGACCGACCAAAAAGTCGACAGTAGGTCAGGCAGCTTCCTTAGTAAACGTAGCAAAGCGTGTACTTCCTCTCGGTTCCTGCTGAAATCTTATCGGCTACCAATAATATCTAAAATATATATATTGAAGAGTGGCGAATGAGCTCGCGTGTCTTAAATGCCTCGTCACTCATGAATTTGGAATGAATTTCGTACTCAACTAGATCATTCGTTTCTCTAGTCAGCATAACATGGCGAGAGCTAAGGGAATATCTGTATACTTTTTTTTTCGTCATTAGTCAGCACTGAAGGTAAATCCAGAAATTCAATCCGAAATCCTTCAACGCAGTGTTTGTTCCCCAAATTTTGATATATTTTAAAGCTGGAGTTTCATTGAAATTCCAGCGTTAAAATGAAATAAATGGACTCCGTTCGACTGCATCTAGGGGCAGCGAGGCAAAGCGGTTGAGTCAGAGTGACGTCCATAACTTGCGTGAATGGAATCTTCCAATCACAGGTCATGAAGGCTCAGACGGAATTGTCCCAACACTCTATCCACAGCTGTGGGAACTTTCATTGGAACTCAGGTCAAATTTTCTCGTTTTGATGACCGTCTTTAAGGCATGGAAATGGAGTTATCCAGATCATCGAAAAAAGCCTGAACGTTCCATTTTCCTCATAGCTTGGCATGGAACCAGAAGTTGAGAATCCAAATAGGGACCATATAGCTTTAAAGAATGCAACTGAAGACGGTACCTTGAGTTGCGGATGCTGAAACGTTCGATTGACGACCACAGTCTCTCATAGCCAAAACATCAAAATCCTTGAATTCAGTTCCATTGTGGCAATTCCCAGAAATACTCGTAAGAAATTTATGATTGAGAACCAGCCATGCTATGTCACAATCGCATCGGATAGGATTGCCTGGAATAGGGACACGACGGAAATATTAATAGCAAAGAAGCAGTGTAAGGAAGTGACAGATGAACATGATAACATGGTAAGAAATCGTAAAAATTCACCTGGTAGATCGAGGACTCCATCTCCTGTAGAGAGGATGTCCAATATTGGGCGGAAACTCTCCTCAGACAAGACAACAATTTCGTTGTTGTTCAGATGAACCTCGGTATTAGGTCCTAGACCTGGAATGCAAATAAAATACCCCATGCCATCATCTAACTAGAAACTGTAATGCTTCTTTCGAGCATGCCAAGGATGGGGCGATTTACAGCCGACGATTGGAGTTCATAAGAAACTAACTGGAAAGTTTCAGATCCACTTTGAAGAAAGTGCCTTGGCACACAAAATTATGGTGTTGGGCCAATCGATTGTCCCTGTATTTGGTTCGGCTAAGCTTGAATGCCTCAAGTAAGGTATTTTCTCCCATATACAAAGATTCTCAATCCACTGATAACCAAGAAACCTCTTGCTATGGATCCATTGCCGGAAGTACGCAAATGACCTGAATTGTTCAAAGCGTAATTCTGAATCTTGTTTTTTTGTGAGTGTTTCTGCCCGTTTCTGTTGTGTGAGTGTTTCTTCTTTGATGCATCCCTATCACACGAAAGCTGTATTCTGCTGTAACTAAGCTATAACTATTCACTCTTGGGATTATTCGGTACTTCTTCTTGATCCCTGTGGGATCAAAAAGAAGTATCGAATCGATCGAAAAGAAGTATCGCTCTCTCTGCTCTCTCTCCCCGAAGAGAGAGTGTGAGGAGAGGGCGAGGGGGTCCAGTATCCATTTACTTCCATTTGTCCGTGAAATGTAGACCCTGACAGTTAGGAAATGCAGATGATATTGATGAAGCAGCGTGTGCTTCGTTTAAGAGCCGTTCTTTTCCTGATGTTGGGAATTTGCAATTGTCTTTTTCCCCCTTGTATCTGATAGGGAAATACGCAAGAATTTACATTTCTTCTCAGGAGTGAAAATTATATGCTTTCCTAAGTATTTTAACCCTTTCACACCTGGCGCCTATCCCACTGGACATTGCCTTTACATTGCCTGTCAATTTCTTAGAATTCTCGTGCCCTTGCGCTCCAAATCAATGGGCGTAATTAAGAAGGCTCAGTTCCATCAAAGGCCTTTTTTTCACCCATTAGTGCTGTAATCTTCAGTTTTTTAATTAAATGTATAATATCTCATATATGGTAAGATATGGTAAACTTATACGAAATATAAAGACCACATAAAAAGCATTACAATTTTATGTACAATCACGAAAGACCTCAAAAATGCAAAAAAGAATATTATTCCGATAGCGGCCTGAATTCAGGTCTGAAAGGGTTAATGCGACAATTAAGGGGATGTTGGAGGCTAGTGGGAGACATTTACCATTCTGGCTGGAAACTAAAGGTAACGGGTGGCTTCCCGAAAGTGTCCTGAAAAGGTCCGCTCGATCACATTGGTTTTTCGGAGAATATTAAAAAAAGTTTTTTTTTTTCCGACGCGAATGAGGTAAAGGATCGTTCGCTTAAACATCGGATTGAGATATTTTGTGCCATAGCCGTTTCATTTCATGGAGTAGGAGGGGAAAATTTCGCAATTAAGACAAAATGGGATTTCCGAAAAAACGCCGGAAATATTTTCTTAGCATGAGGGGCAATACAGGTTTTCATGTTCTTAGATATTTTCATGACAAAGAATATAAAATTTCCCCTAGTATTTTTTACATTGTGCTTACAATTCTAAGGCACCGGTCTGGTTCCAATCCCTAATATTTAAAAGCAGCATTCTCATCTGCAGAATCGCAACGACCATTTAGGGAAAATATCCTGTTTCTTCTCTAGAGGATGAAAAAATCTATTTAACACAGAAATAAACATTTTCTCCGTACATACCACTATCATGAATTATATCTAGCAACGATGACGAACGTGCATGCATTTTTCGGGACTCCCTTTGGAATCGAAATCCTTCGGTTAGGTCAACCTCACTGTCCTCTCTCGTGGAGGAAAGAAATACATTGTTGAGAGTAGGATTAGGAACCAAGCCGTTGACTTATTTCAAGGCTGTCTCGATCACTAGCTTTTGAAACAGAGGGAGTGGATAAAAACAATTATCGCTCGCCAGAGTTGAGTGGAGGGCCATAAGGCATTCGTCAGAGCTGAGGAAATCTCATCAGCCGAGCTGGCACTCGAACAATCCACGGTAACATAGCCAAGCCAATATTTGGTGCACGTACAAGGTGATATGTCTTGGGTGGGGCATGTTTGCTCTATTATCGCAGACACAAATGAGGGAAAGGAAATGAATAGGACGGCCAATAATGGATTCATGATGTGATTGGCAATGGAAAACGGCTGGAAGAGGCTCGAGGTGTTGGGTATCCTTTAAGGTCTGTCTTTTTGGGTGATGGAATTTGATCCACGTAGGTGTGAAAAGTATTCCTGTTGGATCAGAAGGATACTTCTGCACATGCAGCAAAATAATGAGAATGGAAGTATCCATGCATGAATTTTAGGGAATGCGATGCTAATATGAGATATATGCAAACTCATGCTCCTTCATTTTCAAATTCCACCTCTAACATATC